AGCTCTGATTTTCTCAGATCGGGGAAGGAAAGCAGCTTGCCTTGGCAAATGTCTTGCTATGAAAATGATGAATTCAAGAGCACGTGGAGCTTGTGGTTGAAAAGAAACCGTCTGATCAGCAGAACTTTTCTCCCTCAGCTTGTAAGGACAGATTCAGTCTCAAGGCCAAGCTGCCATGTGGTTATAAAATAGAAGCAGGCCCTGTAAGAACCAATCTAACTTTCTTCAATTGTCTTTGCATCTTTAATCATGTTCACCACTTAAAAAGCGGCAGAGCTGGCTGCTGATAATTAGGCTGAGCCTGCAGCAGCATGGCCAGTGGCCAGATCACATGGCTCCTTTCATCTGCATATTTATGCATTTAAAGGAGAGGAAAACTTTCATAACATTTTAATAACTAGGTTCTTCTGAATCCATAAATCCAGTCCTCCAGGCTTAGCCTACACTCTCTTTCTGATCTTAAATAAGTGGAAGAGGGTGGAGTGTTTTGTTTGTTCTCCCTATTCTTTTCCTGTGCATGAACATGCAAAAGCCGATCCTCCCGAGTCCAGGGTCCTCTGCGGGATGGGGAGGTCAGGCGAGGTAAAGCTGCACTTCTAAGGATGCAGGTGGGACTTTGATTTGGTTCCTGGCACGGGAACAACTCCCCGCTCCTAAGGTAGCTCATCTACAGGCTGGCAGGGCTGACACTGTTTTGCTAGACTGGCTTGAAACGAAAAATCCTTTATATTCCTGCTGTGGGAGCTGCAGGGAGGCCAGCTGCCTCCACACGGTGCCTCCAGCCTCCAGCCACCACGCTGAATTCACACCGACTCCCTGGCCCATGGGTGGCAGCTCCCCTGACAGCCGTGGTGACATCCTGCAGGGTCGGTGGCGGTGAGGCTTTGCAGACCATCCTCCCTCGCACATCGCCTGGCCAAGGGCCTGTGGGCTCAGCCTCTGTCAGTGGGAAAACAAAGCAGGTGAGGCTGGGAGACCAGTCCTTACGTGCTGGTGTTATCCTAGCGAGATGAGGGCAGCACTGTTGGAGTTACGCATCACTGATTTCTTTCAAAGCTGAAGAACCCCATTAAAATTAAATAAAAAACATTCGATGACATGTAGTTCTTAAACACTACTCCTTTTTTTTTTTCCTTGTTTTTATTTGAAAAGCACTGGCGAGTCAGTCGTTCTGTGCTGGAAGCAGCTTCTCTGTAAAATTGCCTGGGTGGAGCAAAGAACCCTTTGCTGTTTACAAGGGTCTCAGAGGAGGCTTTTATCGCTGCTGCCATACAGCAAGTGAACAAACGCCAACTGCGATTAGGCCGTGCTTTATTTCCAGAGTGCATCTTGAACTAGTCTTTAGTGGTGCCAGGAAAACTTGGGGGTTTGCTGCTCTGGAGTAGGAGGGAATTGGGTCTGGCGCAAATGCTTTGTTTCGGAGGTAGTGCCAATGATCATCGGCACGTAAAAATAGTGTTGCTAGATGAGTGAAATACCCAACCCATGAAACTGCAAACCATGGCATTAGATTCACTGGAAGGGAAGGTGAATTGTTCCTCTTGTATCTAAAGAATCAGAAGAAACAGACAGGAGCAAGATTAATTAAGAGTGGGAGCTCATTGCTCCCTCTCCAAGCGGGCGAGGAACCGCGCCGAGCGGAACAGAGCAGCCGGCTATCTGAAGTGTTTCTTGGCATTTTCCAGCTGAGCTCTTCGAAAATTTCCTTTGCACCCAAGTGTCCCCAAGACATTCATAAAACGCCTCTCTGGCTACCCAATGCGATGACTAACTCATGTCCCCAGGTTTCATTATCAAGCTTTTAATCTAAGCCTGAGCCCTCTGATCTGTCGTTGGAAGCACTGAGGGAATTTGCAGCAGGGTTTTTCCCAGCAGAGAAAACCAATTTGCTTGCTAAAGACTTTATGTGGGAAACGTAGCTTACAGATACAAGAGTGTGGAAATTCGGTTGTTTATTTTGTAGCTTTGGGAGTGGCTGATGCTTTACTTCATTTTGAGGATGGATCTTACATTTCCAGTGCTGTGAGCAGGGCAACGGATTTCATCCAACAAGTCCAAGAGAAAATTCCCTTGATTTTGATGAGGCTTGAGGACAAATGCTTGTAAACGTAACATAACGTAGGGACTTGTCTTTTCTTCAGCCTAGTGTGGGCTTGGATTGGGCAGGTGTGATGTACGGTGTCAGTAACACAGTGTAGCTAAGCACCATGCTTTTAACGCGTAGGTTTGACCCCGGTTGTGTACTTTGGGTTATTGCTGCATTGTTTAATGCTTTCTAATCTAGAAGCCATCAGCGGTCAGTGGGAAGGCAGGCTACAAATGAGAAGCAGGCTGATCTCGTGGCTGCACCTTTCAGATGTGGTGTCCTGCCACAATGTTTCCTGCCCGAAAGCAGATGAAATAAGGGCTCTGCGGCCACACTGCCACACACAGCTCGGCTGTGAGGGACGTGCATGAAATGAGTGCAGGGGATGTCTGCCAGGGGGAAGGAGTAGGTGAGCCAACACTTTTGCTCCATGTTGGCCAGCCAGGGGTGCTGAGGGCCAAACAGCCCCAGAGCATGAGCCCAAAGCCCTCACGCAGAGCCAGGAGCTGGACTCCAAGCAGAGGCGCTTGCACTCATCCCCTGCAGTTATCGCCCACGATCAGTGATGGCAAGGCCACCATCCTCAGCTGGTGGAGTGCTGCTTAGGACTCCACTGAAGCTCGCACAACATGTCACATGCGGCAGGTATTGCCTTGGATGTTACCCACAGCCTTGCTGAGGCACCAGGAGTTGCTCTTTCTTATTCGTCTCTGCCCCACTTGCTCCCCGCTCCGCTCCACCATGGAGGCAGCCGCCATGTGAACGTGTGTGCAAACACACTTGGTATGAGTCATGCGGCAGCTGTTGCTATTTATTAAACTGCGGTTTACATCTTTGGAGTACATGGTATTATCCTTTATGGATGTGGCTTTATCTCCGTTATTGCAGTATGGAATTAATTAGGAGTATTAAAGTATGTGCTTTTTTTAAAAAAAATATATTCCTAACTTTCATCTACGGAGGCAACATTTTCATGTCCATTTTCTCCTAATAGCAGTATCTTTTGAGAAGATGTGATAGACACATTTAGGTAAATATTATTCCTCCACCACACATGGTTTCCATTGCAGTGGATCCCCTGCTGTTTCCTTCCAAGCACTTTCCTCTGTTACACATCCCATGATGGTGGCTGAAATACTGATCAGCGATAGCAGAGACAAATTGACTCCAGCAACTGGAAGCTTTAAGGGCAGCAAATGTTTGTGTCGGATTTTTGCATGTACCGTAGTTACCGAAGGAGTTTTCAGGCGTTCACTGAAATTTTCACTGGAACGGGAGGCCTGGAGCTGCTCGAGGCAGTTATAATTTAATAAAAGGCTGGAATGAATAAAGACTGGCTGGGTGAGATGAGGCACAGAGATAGCTCACTACAAAGCAGCCGCATGTGCACACCTCAGGGCTGCCAGCAGCCTCGGTGCCCTGCACAGAGCTGGCACAAAAGATGTTCATGAGCTGCCCGGAGCTCCAGGGCCACAGGCTGCCTGCAGTGGGCTAAAGGAGGACGGATTTTACACGCACTGAGAGTGGCACAGCTGCTGGAAAGGTTTCTGAGCAGATGGTAGCAGCAAGAAGCTGGGGAAAGTCAGGCTGGGACACACTTCCACACTGACTGGGCTTCCTCGGTTGTGCATCAGGCTGGAGCTGTGGATGCAGCGGGTGCTAACACAGCTTCCCTGCCCGTGCCTCACCCAGTTCTCACCAGCCCCATCCAGCTGCAGCAGGATGGCCCCCCAGGCCTAGCCAAATGCCCCCACACCAAATGCACACACCCCTCTAACAGCAGATCTGCAGCATCTTCTAAGCCAGCTTCCCTTTTCGTTAACAGTTTTTTATTATTAAGCACCCTGTGCTCAAAACTTGGAGGACAGGATGGCATTGTGCCTGCCCTCAGGCTCTGAGAACTGCGGGGCTGGTGCTGGACCCTGCGGTTCACACGCAGCACCCTGCCATGCCCTGCACCATCTGCTGGCAGGCCGGACCTGACTCTGATTTGCAGAGATTCGTACAATCAAACCTCCATGGAAAAAGCTGCTACATGAAAGGAGCGTTGCATGACTGGAATTCGTGGCATTCCCAGAACCTGTGCTTTTTGCCAGGAGAGATTTTGAAGCCAGGAGGACCTTCCTAACACAGCCTGGAAGCACGACAACCTCTGAACGCTCCCATCCTGTTTCTTCCTCGCTGAAATGGCTCTGGGCTGGCACTTGCCCTCACTTTGGGGAACGTACATCTGATTCGTATCTCCTGAGGTTGAGATACAGAATAAACTCTCATTACCTCTTGCTAACGCAAAGCAACCCCAGAGCAGATGCCTGAAGCCCTGCTTGGCCAGGCCAACGTGAAACAATAGAGAACCCCTGGCAGGACCTTTCCACAGGACCCACTGTAATGGAGAGAACTGGCTGTGCCCATCCATTTTCAAAGCCCTGCCTTCACAAAGCCTGCAGCAATGTGGCAATCACAGCTTGAAGAGCCTTCTTGTTGTGCTAATGGAAATTCTCATTAATTGATATCCTATCAGAGTCCCCAAGCCTCAGTGTTAAGCAGCAGGGGTTGCACTTGCATGAGAAAGCCCCCATGCAATGGCATTGCTGCGGGTTAATAGAGTGCTAATGAGCTTAAAGGTGAGCACCTGCATTAGGAATCCCAGGAGCAGCTCATGAAAAGCACAGCAGGATGCCAGGCAGGAGCTCAGGCACCAATCGGTATCCTGAGAGCAGCTCTTTCCAGGGGGCTAGGAGAAAAAGTCAGCATCCCAGGGGCTCGGGCACATTCACACACTGCTGATCACACTCAGGTGTCGTCCTCAGGAGTGGGCAACGATGTTGGGCGGGCTGAAGGTGAGGAACACTTGCATTTTGCTGTTGGTTGCATTGAAACACAGGCAATGAAAAAAAAAAAAACTATTCACAGCTTGCTTAGAATAAACATAGTAATTCTTTGCCATACAGAGTAACACTTTATACATAAATAATTTGAATGTCTCGCTCTTTCATGGAAAGTAACAGAGAAAACCTTCAAGGTTGATACATGGGAGCTGGCATCACAAATCACACAAATCACAAGTCCTGCATCCAAGCCTCCTGGCGTTGGATTCCAGAGCTGACCTCCCCACCGCCTCCCTCCTCTGCCCCTGAAGGAACTGAATCAAGACCCTCCCTGGAAGACCACCCCCAGCATCAACCTCTGGTTACAGATCCCAACCCTGCAACCTCAGCCCTGTGGCTGAAGCCTGGCCCCTTACATGTGCAGTGGTGTGAAATCCTCGTTGGCAGCTGTGGAAGGAGCCGCTGCATTCTCCAGGGTACGTTATTCGTAGGTTTTTTGGAGCCTGCTGAACTAACTTGGCTTACTCCAGCCGGGTCCCTTGCAGTTATTTTTATTTCTTGGCTGCCAAGCTGGTTACTGAAGCAGCAAGGCTAGGTATTGCCGAGTCTGGCGACATTTGACTAAAACTGAGAGCGTTTATGCGGAACAGCAGTGTGGGAACAGCTAAACAAGCTAGCAGGGCTGTGGGGAAGGGAGCATTCTGCAATGAGGAATTGGAGCTTTGATCAAGGAGACAGCAGCATTTGACTCAATCGGAGCTGGCAGGGAGATCACATCCCAAAGCAAAATAAAATGTGTCATTCTTTTCAGTAGATTAAATTCTCCCCAATGGTTTGTTCCTCCCAGGATCGTTTTATGCGATCTCATTGTCTTTACAGTCTTTTCCCTGAGGAAGCTGATCGTTTAATATAGACTACAGCATTAGCATCCGGTATTAAATCGGTCGGGCTACTCTGAAACGAGGCGAGTGGGCGCCCTGGAAAGGAAATACAAACACAAGTTTAACAAAGGAGGTAAATTCACTTTGACCCACGCTATTTACTCCAAAACACACAGCAACATAACCCTTTCTCCACAGACGGTCATTCTGCCCTGCCATAGATGTGTTTTGCACTCCAAGGTGCTCATTGAGCTCAACAAGTGTGCACGAGAAATGCAACATCAAGCCCAAGAAGCTCTGAAGTCCTGTGTTGCTTTATGGAGCTGCATGGAGGACTAGCATGCTCCCCCAGCCCTCACAAATCCCAGAAGAAAAGTTAGGTGCTCAGCATTTCAGAGGCCTGCCCCACACTTTTGTCATTGTTGGGTAAGGAGGTTTGCTGTAAGAACACAAGGAAGAAGAAAAATCCCCAAGCTGTAGGCACAGCGCTGGATGGCAGGGACCAGGCACTGCAGCCAGGGTCTCCCACCCTGTGCCGTTCGTGTCACACCATCAGCAGGACCTGAAGCTCCTTCCGTGTCCCCAAGCACAGCTGAAAACGTCCACCCCACTGGGCGGCCAGGCATGTTGGGCAGCACTCACACAGCCCATCAGAAGCCTGGTGCTGGCCCCAGATTTACCTCGTACCAGGGCAGTGCTCTGGTGTCAGCCGCTAGCCCTGTGCCAATCGCACATGATGCCATGGAAGAGCAGCATTTTTTGGAATTGTTGTTTTAAAATAAATGCCTTGTGAGCCAACAAGACATCATTCTTCTGCACCACCACTGGAAACACTCATTGAGTGTCGTACTTTATGAGTAACAATTTAGCCCACGATTGAAGTGTCAGCTAAATGAGGCAATTTATAATAATTCTAAAAACATGGTCGCTATAAAAGGCTATAATCAGAGCTAATTACAGGGACATTTTGGAAATCTATTGGTTTGGGGATTTAGTTTTGATAAAGGGGATAACAACTTGTAAGCCAGGATTCCTTTCATTATAACAATAGCAACCACCCACTTCTACACAGCTTCTTTCATCTCAAACAGCCCGGCAGCTCTTTGCAAACTACATGTACCGCAGGAGCTGTTCAGCCTAACACCAAAGTGAAGCCATCTCTGTGTGCAGTAAGTAACTGTCTAACAGCACATAGCTGTCCTGTGCAAAACCTGCAGAGGGAAGAGTCTGAAGAAGGAGAATATAATCCCTCTTTTTTCATTTGCAGACACACAGCACAGTGAAGGTGTTATCTCTACACACAGCCAAGGGTGCTGGGGCACCATGTGGCAAGGTAACTTCAAGCCCCTGTCCCCAGACCTCTGTCCGAGCTCACCTGTCCACGTCCTCTGCTGGGTGAGGATGAAGCTTTGACACTGCGACTGGGAGTTACAAATTGCAGCGGCTTCCTCAGGGCTGTGAATGGACAGCAGGCAGCCCAGGTGGCTGTAGGAGGGCCAGCACTTGTAGTCTTCTGCTTCCACCGTCCGAAAGCCCTTTAGGGCGATGTACTCTGGGAACAGAAAGATGGCATGTAGGGAACCCCAGGTGCACTTTCAGAGACCAGCTATAGAGTGAACTTGGCATCCTGCACTTTGGTGGAACTCTTAAAGGAGAAGCGATGGTGACAGATTGAACCGACCTGCTGAAATGGGCAGAGCCGCAAAGCTGAAAGGAGCCCAGTTCTGTGATCATCCTGCCATCGGGCACAGGACAGCAGTTCCCCCAGAAATACAACAGAGGAGCCCGTACAGAGAGCAGGGTGAAGGGATGGGGTCGACAACAGGGGCTGGGCAGAGGGCAGGCTGCTGTGCAGACCGGCCTTCCTAGCACAGCCCCAGGGAAGCCACCATCACGGTGACCTCTCCTGCACCTCAGCCCCTACAACAGCAGCAGTTCATCACCATGCTGCCAGCCGCAGGGGGAGATTTGGGAACCCCCAGGGGTGAAAGGGAGGCTAGATGCTGTTCCAGCAGGATACAAAAGACTCGACAAGCCTGAGCAGGTGATGTTATGGTTGTTGTGGATTAAGAGTCCTTCCCCACACCTCTAGGACGGTGGTCACTTTGGCACATGGCTACTGGGGCACTTGCTAAGCTAATGAGTAGGCACTACTGGAAAATTCTGGTGTTCCCTGTTAAAGCTGCTGGTCCTTCAGTGTAAATGACTGGGTATCTTTGTTTATATCTGCAGATTCCAGTTCTTCCACGCATTAAGAGACTTCCATCCTCAAGCCACCGTCACTTCTCCATCACCTCAAGTGAACACTCGGGAACATGTAAGCTGCAGTAACCACTGGACCTTTGAAGCCTCCCAGTTGGAATAATGATTAGCCCCGTCTCTACCACCAAACAGGTCTTTTTCAGAGGAATGCGCCTGATAAAAGTTCATTTACCTATCTACAAACCAGCTAGGATGGGTCTTCAGAAAAAAATAAGCTTAGGGGGCACCAAGCTCCCCTGCCACACTGATCCCAGTGCTGTGACCTCCCCGCTCTGTGCTCCCATAACCAACAGTGCTCATCGGGCAGAAGCCACTGAGTGAAGTGGGAAGTTTGCTGGCAGCCTGGGAAACTGACCTACAGTCTGTACAAGAAGGTGGCCCTGCAGATGGACATGAGAGACTCAGCTTACTGCTCTGTTCTCGTTGCTGAAACTATCCCAAATATATTTGCTTACAGCACAGGCTGATGCACATTATGAAGGGTATTTAGAAGTAGTGCAAACACATGTTCATATGTATGCCAGATTGTCTGCACTGCATTTGCTTTGCAAAACAATGCAATCATGCATAGCTCCCATGAAGAAATGACAAAAGACTGCTCAAATGAGGGGGGAAAAAATAAAAAGATGCTTTTGGTCCTTAATTCTACTCCCAGTGACTATATGGTGCCTGAACGTATGAGAGAACAGAATTGGACCAACTACCAAGTTCCTTGCTCCCTCAGTAATTATGTTAGGGACAGCATCCAAATTCACGTACCTTTTAAAAGAAGAGGTCTTTTCTGTAGATAGAGCCCAGACTTGTACAGATGTAAAACCTTCTCAAAAGCTGTCACGGTTTCATTTATTCCATATCGTAAATCACCTGCATTTAAAGAAAAAGATGACAGGGACAAGTAACTCCATGAAATGCCACTGGGAGTCTTCTCATCGAGAAGCCTTAGTTTATGAATGTTAGCTGGTACCTGTTGCGTTGAGAATATCACTCAAAAAGGGCTGCAAAGCTGGTGGTGCAGAATGTGGCAAAAGATAGGTGAAAAAATACCTGCAAAATCCCACAGACTGATTAGAAAACAGCAGCTTAACTTCCTTCATGATTAAGTTGAATATGTTTTCCTGTGACTTGATTATCCATAGGCAACCAGTAAGTCTGCTCTGGTTACTAAGTAATGTTTGAAAACTTTGTTGGCATCTCTTGTGAGTTGCTCTGAAGGCCTGGTCCTTACAGCACAGTGTGCAGCCAAGCACTGCACGAAGCCGCTTGCCCAGGCTCAAATAAAGCCAGGATCCGAAGAGCCAGAGGCTGTCAGGATGTGCTGTGGCACTCAGCCGCTGCCCATTCCCTGTGTTAGTGCCACGCCGCTGCTGCCCACAGTTTTGCAGAAAGACCCAGAGTGCAAAGTAAACGTTAGCAAGCCTGTTCCCAACAGCATTGGGTCAAAGCTGGTGTGCTGTGGCAGATAACCTGCACGTAGCCCCCAAATTTCAGATGCCAGGGTTTTCTGGTTTGGCAAACAATACATTCCCAGGTGCAACTTCTGGGGCAAGTTCCTAGGGGGCGCCAGGGAAAGGGAGCAGCAGCAGCAGCAAGATGCCTGCATCCTCCCCAAACAACACAACTATTTTCCTGCCTTATAAGGAAAATAAACTTGCTTCAAAGCGATCCTTAACTACCCTTTGGCAGAGCTGAGGGGGAGGCGTGCAGCGAAGAAGCGCGAGACAGCAGAGGCCACATGGCACTGACAGAGCTCAAACCCCCCACTTTTCCCCCATCTAACTGCACATACCGATATGCATTGAAAAGATTCTTCTTCTCGTTTATTCCTTCGCACTTCCCGGCTGAAGAGCACTTGAGAGGGAAGCTTTTCGCAGGGAAGTCGAGTGTGCAGTCATTGTCCTCCTTGCATGACAGCTCCTCGGTGCTGGCATCATCCATGTCTGTCACTTTTAGGTTTCCATCCACCATAACAAACTGCCTTGGCTGGAAGTCCAAGAGGACTATTGAACCCAGGGGGGAATGTGCCAAGTAAAACAGCAGTTTCACAAGGCCCAGGCAAATCTGAGAAAGAGAAGATGAATATGCATGGGAAAAACAGATGAAAAACAGCTATTAAATTGGAAGTAGAACAAAGGAGAGGGCATTCAATGAAATTAAAGGCAACAAGGCATATAGTACTTAAAAGGTAATTATATGTATGCTACAAAATTTATTATCAACATTGCCATGGGATTTGACTGTGGTAAGTACTTTAGCAGCATTTTTTAAAAACGTGTATATGCAAAAAGAGCCATTTGCAGTTAGAGGAACTAGAGGAGAAAGCTGTGAGGAAAACAATAGCAGCCTTCATGTTTCAGGAGCTGTATTGATTTGTGAGCTGAAATCAGAAGGTTTTTTTCCCACTCTGGCATAGAATTAGTACGTTCCCCTCCCTTCCCCCATGCTGCTCCATACAGACTGAGGCTCCATGGTCATTAATACCAGATTCACGCGTTGCTGCATTGCTCAGCAGCATGAATTTGGGCACACAATCATGCTTCTGAAGAATTAGCCAAAGCATGCAATACATTTATTGCCAGCGTCTTGCCTTTATGTCAACTTTCTGGCAGCAGGGAAAGCTCATACAATACCTGATCCAGCATAAAGCTTGGCGAACAATTGTTGGACAAACCAGAGCTAGAAAAGCGCATTCATACTGAATAGTTTGGCTAAGTAGCTGCAGCATTTTTCAGCATTTTTCATTCTGTATCGGAGCCCTAGCATCAGATTAACTGTATCATCAGCTAGGTGTGCCAGGCAGCCCCACATCACCTCTCACTGCCTCAGATAGTGATCTCTGCAGGCACAAGGGTTTGTGTGCTTGGAACCATTCACAGAATTGCTGGTATCTGATGTGGCTCGTTAGAGGGGAAATCCCGTCCTTTCAGACGCCCTAATTAGGAAACAGGACTAGACACTGCCAGTCTACATTTGGTGTTAGTATCTTCATCACTCCAAAGATTATTAAAGTCTTAATGTCACCTCACCAAACCTCACCACCGGCTAATCCAGTACCAAGGGTTTCTAGCTCCACAGGAGACTGGCGCATTTGAGGAAACGTGGTGCTGAGAAAGCTAAGAAGCAGCCAGTATAAAACGGTTTGTAAGCAAAAGTTGGAGCTGCAGTGGTCTAGAGAAACGACTCTGGGAGCTCTGATGCTACTTGAACTCGGTCAGTGAAGCAATCCTATGAAACTCAGCTTCACGTCCCGCAGCTCAGCAAGTGTGAATGCCACACTCCCTCTCTGGCTTGGACGGCTCCTTCCCAACATTGTGGACCACAAGCAAGCAGGAGTTTTATATTTTGAGTCTTACTGCCTCTTTATTTTGCCCAAAGTATTTCTTATTGATTTTAAGGTACCCACGCTTCTACCTGATGCTCTTCCCTCCTGGGAAGCTAACAAGTAGTAGTGAGCCCCCGACAGAGACCTGGAGGCAAACTGTAACACAAGCCAGCACCAAAGCAAGCGCCGTGTCACAACTCAGCCGTGCTCCCGGGGAGCTTAGGAGTCCCTGTGGGGAGCCTGGGGGACAAGGCAGGTCTCAGTGACGGGATGTGACCCTACCACCCGCAGCGACCCTATCACCTGCAGCGCGAGGAAAGCAATCTAGCGGTGTTGGTGTCACAGCGATACCTGAGGGGCTAAGTGCATCACACACACACTGAGATGGGGGCTGCTCAGCTCGCTGCTGTGACACAGCGTGCCGAAACCCACAGACATAGCACGGCTTCCCTGAGCTACGGGGGCTCTGCCGAGGGGTCTGGCTGGGAAAGTGGCTCCGTGGGGTGGCACGGCGTGGGGGGAAAGCCAGAAACACGGTGTAACAGCGGGTGGAAAGCTCTTTTAGCGCTGCTCTGGAGAGAGGGAATGGCAAAGCTCCGGGTGAGGTCCAAGCCAATCCGCCAGAGCAAACGGAGCGCCAGCATGACAGCCGCTCAGCCGGGCTTCCCACACGCACCCAGCCGCCCCCTTACCTTGAACCTCTCCTCCCAGGGGGTCTGCAGCAGCTGGATCATCTCCAGGGGGGCTCCCAGCTCCAGCACGGCCGTGACCCCGGCCCCGGGATCGCCGCCGCTGTCCAGGCAGTGACCGCGCAGCTGGGGGAGAGGGAGACGGAGATGAGGGGCGAGGAGAGAAGAGAAGCGAGGGCGGCGAGAGGCGAGGGTCCCCCCGCCATACCTGCACGATGCCGGGGTGCCTGAGGCGCTGCAGCAGCGCCACCTCCTTCAGCAGCTTGTAGGCGGCCAGGCGGCGGCACCCGGCGGGCGCCCCGTAGCGCTGCTCGCACTGCCGCACCTCCCGCCCGGCGCCGTGCACCGACTTGAGGGCCACGGCTCCGCCGCCGCCGGGCAGCGCCGCCCGCTGCACCACCTTGGTGAAGCCCGAGCCCAGCACCCCGCCGCCCGTCGCCCCCCTCAGGTCCCCGCAGCCCAGCCCGGCGCCCTCCGCTTGGCCGCCCTCCGCCGCCGCCGCCAGGCGCCGCAGGTCCCGCTGGCGCTGCCGCAGCTCCTCCAGCAAGCCCGGAGGCAGCCGCGGGGAGCCCGCACGCCCCTCGCCGCCCTGCCCGGCCCTGAGGGCCAGCAGGGCCAGGAGGGACAGCAGGGCCAGCAGGGCCAGCAGGGCGCCCCGCCGCGTCCCGCCCGCCGCCGCCATGAGGAGCGGGGCCGGGCGCCCGCCGCCCGCCGCCTCGCTGAGGCGAGCGCCGCTGAGGGGCGGGACGGGGACGGGGATGGGGAGGGAAGGGAAGGGCTGGGGCGGAGGCGGCCGCAGGCACCTGCCGAGGGGAACGGCCCTGGGGTGGGGAGAGGGGAGAGGGGGTGGTTGTGGGGTACAAGGGGTCGGGGTGGGGCGGGGAGCGGCACCGCTGCGGGCTGAGGGGAGCCCCCGCGGGCTGCTGGTGACCGCTGCCGCTCCTCAGCGCCCTGAGGGGTGGGCTGTGAGGGAGAGGGGCAGTGGTGGCACACAGCCAGCTCAGCGCTGTGATTTGTGACACACGTATAAAGAAGAAGAAGCGCTGCCGAGGTGCTGAGCTTGTGGGGAAGAAGAGGAATGGGACGGGACGGGACGGGACGTGGTGCCTGTCCCTCACCGGAGCAACGAGAGGGAGTATGAGAAGTGGCACCGCAATGGAGCAGAGACTGGAATTCAGCAGTAATTTTACACATTAAAGAGCCTGGGGAGGGCAGGCAGAGCCCTCCTCATCCACACCACTTGCTCAGGCTACAAAACTCGGTAAAATAATCCCCCAAATCTCCATCTTGTGCCTGTCCCCGCATGGATGGGTCACAGCCCGATCCCAGAACAAGCCTTCCAGTAGCTGAATTTCCTTTGTTGCTCTTTAACCTTAATAGCTCTTTAATTAGTGTCCTTATTTTCAAATCAAGCGTACATCTGTGTCGTATTAATGAATATTCATTGTCACTGGAGAGCTCTTAAATGCATTTTTACCTGTGTTTCCAAGGGAATAGATGCCAGCTGAATGCGGTATTATTTAATTTCAGCATGTCCTCAGCACCATAATAGTATCAGGACCTATTAGAGAAGGCTCACAGATACGTAAAAGGAATAATGATTGATTATTTACTTGCTTTATAGTAGCACTTAAGGGCTCCTGCCAAGGCTCTGTTGTTCGAGGCTTCTTACAGAGAGCAGCACAAAAGGCAGCATCCCCTGACCAAGCTGGCGCCTGCAACGAGATGTGCCAAGGAGCATCCCTAGCAGGCTGTTCGCACATGATGACCACGTTTTGCACATGATGACCATATTTTGAAGGATAAGAGATCTGGATAGACTCAGTGCTTCTGTGCCAGTCAGCCTCAGTGCCAGGGGAAGGTGCTGTGCCCTTTTCTGTCACATAGATGTCACCTTAGGGTTGTGGCAAGGGAAGGGGACAGAGTGCCAGCCATCTGGCCATAGGGTGTCCTGCTGCCCAGAACTGTCTCACCCAGGAGCCCCGGGGACCTGTGCCTGGTGAAGCAGGAGGACCAAAGGATGGTTTGCTCTGAGGGTGCAAAGCCGTCAGAGGAACTCAGAGCAGAGCTCGCGTGTCTTTGGCCTTGAGAGGGAACAAGAAAGTCCCAAACGTAGCAAGCAAGCTCCCACCAGGGAGGGTTCTAGAGCTGCTTACCGCAGTGGCTGACAACTAGCTGTGACTTGTCAGAAAAACTTTTCATATAGAGGGCTTATGTGAGAAGGGAGGGCATTATAGGAAGCTTCCTGAGCCTCTTAGTTTTGACCTCTTTATGTCATTTTATCTTCAGCTTTCTGAGCTCACAATAACTGCAGCTGAGGGGCTGTGAATCTACAGCACAAAACAGGTCGCAGGCAGTAAAACGGAGCCCAGGGCCCCCCGTTCGGCTTCAGTGTCACCTGGTGGCCTCCAAACACTACCACAAGACAGACAGCTAATGATTAATTACAGGTAATGTCATCAGGTGCCCTGCAGTGCAGCCCAGAGCAGCATGGGCAGCAAGACGGAGAAGCGTTAAAATGATCCTACTGAGATGCTGGCAGGATCGCGGGGACTCACAGAGACTGAACGTGCTGTACACAGCGAGCACAGCACTCCGAAGCTGCTGTGGTAAAGGAGGCAACCAGGAGCTGGCTGTGGCTGGCTAAATGAGCCTGAAGGGCAACAAAATATCCCGATTCATACTCCGCATACCTGTCTCCAGCAATAAAGGGCAACAACATATGTTTTCTTATCTGCATTCGTTCCCCCAGAGGCTACAGATAGATCAGGCCATCCGTTGCCCAGAAAACACGAGGCTCTGGCATAATTGCAAGGACTGGCATTGAATCCTGAGCTGAGCTCCTGCGGGTTTCCTGCAGGGGCTGGGATGATGTTCCTGACGTGCAGGATCGTGGTTATTTTCCCCGCTTCCCTCCTGGCACTGACATGAGCTGTGCTCCTCCCTGGAAATGTGTGTGGGTCTGTACGTGAGGTGTAGGAACAAAACTGCGAGCCTGCTGTGCTCCAGACCCCGTGCCATGCCAGCTCTGAAGGCATTGCCTTCCCCTGGAAGACAAAGGCTCCTTTGGGTGCCTCCCCTATCCAGTTCCCTCCCATCCCAAGAGACTCTAGGCAGCAGCTTTTTCCCTGTTTCTCCTCTTATTTTACCACAGTGGTTTAAAAGGGATAAGATCAAGCTCTTGGGTTAGGATAAAAAGCTAGGGAGAAATCCTAAGGGAAAGTCCTCACACACATGAAAGTCCCGGGCGTCGATCCAGAAGAGGTAGGCAAAGAGTTTACAGGTTTGGGAGGGGATCAAAGAAACCTGCAACAGCCATCCTTTAGAATAGGAGGAAGGTTCAGGCACCTGTAAGAAACCCTTGGGAATTAGCATTGCCGTCAGTACCCTCATTTTGGGGGCAGCTTTTTACCTTGACTGCTGATTGAGCTCCTGCGTGGCTCCACGGAGCCCCCCTCTGCCTGCAGGTGTTCATCTGGGGGAGCCTGCAAGCGAGGGGAGCTGCTGGAAAGCTGCTGGAGGGCAGGCTCCTGCCTGCAGGGCTCAGCCTCCGTTGCTGTCCTTCTTTCCCATTGTACTTCTAAAGCTTGGCAGAACCTGTGCAAGCACCCGGCTTACATACCAGGCCCCCGGGAGCAGCTTTCCTGAACATGCCCTCACCCTGTTTTTGGAGGACGAGGGATCACCTCCTGGCTGGGGGTGCTGGATGAAGCAGAGAGCATTGCAGCACCTCTGCACAACGTCCCTGTGGCTTAGACATCACCTACTGTCTCCAGTGCCCTGCGGGGGCCCAGGACAGGTTATCTCCCAAGAGAAGGAGCTGTCAGGGCGGAGAAGCACTGCTCCTGTTCGGCACATCGACAATCAGAGCTTGCCATCTGCTGGAAGGCGACCAGCACTGACAGGCAACACTGGCAGGAGCTCCTGGGTGGAGGAACACATGCTGCTCCCCTTCGCAGCCACCCCGACTCCCGGCACTGCCAAGATACTTCCCTCCCTCTGACACCCCCTCCGAACGCAGCGTGCCACCCGCACGTCCAGCCCGACACGGGGCAGCCGGCTCCCTGCCACATCCGCTCCCAGCAGCACACTTCCAGCTGGAGACACCTCAGGTTTCCCAATCAGGTTTTATTCACGTGCAGGAATACAGGAGCAGATCTCCAGCAAAAGGGATCGCAGAGCTGGTCTAGCAGTGCAAGCGGTGTCACCTCCGGGTATCAGTAGTATTAGTACGCTGCATAACATCGCTTAGCAAAGGCAGCATCAGCCCTACTGGCCTGTTATCCCACTGCTGCTCTGCATCAGATGGTGCACGAGTGGACCCAAGGAGATCTCTGGGAGGTTATCCTCCTGGTGTGGAAACCACCACGGCAACTTGTCAGTGCACACACCGTGTTCTCTGTAACACTGCCAGTGCCAAATGTCCTGAATTCCCTGCATTTCATGGCAGATCTTATGCCCAAACTCCTATTAGGTATCCATGTATTTCTGGAAGGTGGGATTTTCACATTATCATTTTTCCCCTAGCTGAGCCAAGCTGAAAGGCAGCACAGAGCAAACAGTTTTGGAGCAGCTGCAGGAAAGGCTGCAGGACGTTCTCCTGCCTCTGGCTCAAGTTGCACAAGCATTTCTTCGAGGAAAGGTCAAGTTTAAGCAGCGTTTGACTTTAGGCCCTCACTTCCAATTCTGCTGTATATTCTAGGCTGTCTGGTCCAAGCATTCGTGTAGCTTCACAGTGAGCCAGATGGGGAAAACAATCCAGGTTTAAATGAACCCAACGAGACCTCCCCAAAAGAGCAGCGCTGCCTGGATTGTGAACCTACACTCTGACCAGTGTTGGAAGGAGAAGAGACTGAGGAAAAATGAGGCAGAAGAAACAGGGACAATTAGTGGCCACAATCTCTGATTTTTGTTTCAGATCACTTCTCAATCATTTTTCTCATTTACAGCAGGGATAGAAAGACTGTTTTACCAAGAGAATAGCTCCAAAGTTCTCTTCCTAAATTCAATCCAAATCTTGTGCTCTACGATGTTTTTGATTTCATTATGTAAACACAACATTCCCCTAACGAGGGATTACTTAGACCATGTCGTGTTGTAAGCAAAATTAGTGGAAACTATCCACTGGGATTTGACTCCAGCTTTGCATGGAGCTCTCAGGGATACTCCAGTGAAAAGATGCCCTTTTAAAATTCTGGACAAAACCAAATAGTCCCCCAGGAACATAGCAGGCTTTGCAATTCCAGGTATGTTTCCAGATTGAAGATGTTCAAATATATTCAGAGTGAATCTCCTAAGGTTTTCTTTCGTACATGATGAGAAAGTTAGGAAAATTTCCAATCTGGTAATCCTCTAAAGGGGCCTGTAAAATCTAACCTTTGATTACTGTTAAAATCTACGAAATCTGACGAAACTCAACCACTTCCATTTCATGCTCCCCTTCCTGAGGGTCACGCCTGGAAGCGTTTTGGAAGGCTCCTTGGCTTTAATTTACACATTACTCCATCTAGTGGTCGAAGGGTTCCAGAATCCAAGAGTTTAAAACTCTGCCCTGGTACCAGCTGGAATTCAAACCTCTGCAGCAACTTTGCCATCACCACTTTCGCCTCCATCTGTTAAGAAGAAAAGCAAACTTGTTATCAGTGACAGCAAAAACAGCTTTGCCCACAGCTGCTTAAATCCAGTGTGCTATGTCATACTGCTTTGTCAATATAGAGATT